CACAATCATCAGGAATACGAGGAATGGAGTTCCAGCCTCCTATACATCAGGAGGAGCGCGGAAAATTCTGCATCAACTCTCATGTAGACAAGGAGGTCATAGGGCTCAATAAAACCCAGACTGGCCAAAGTTCATATCAATTGGAACAACAAAAAGCCAAAACATCCGTTTCTCACTGTCATTTGGAACACAGCGGACAAGTTGATTTAGGCCTAGAGCCTCGATATAGGTTTGAGAAATTTCAGTCTCAGAAATTGGGTAATTGCCTCGAGAGCTGCGACGGTGAGTATCAGCCACAGCAATGGCAGCAGGATCATTCGCAGATTGGAGAGCAACTTACACAGTATAATCGTCAACCTTTAGTGCCTCATCAGCTATGCTCTAATTGTGCAAAGCATCAAGGCTCCCTCTTGCCTCAACAGAAACCGCAAAATCACATAATTCCACATTTATCCAACACTAGAATCCCAGACGACCGATCTCGTTGGCGTAGGACATCTTCGACGTCGGCTCCATCTCTTCAGGTACACAATTCTACTCGAGAGCACTCTTCATTGCCTCCATCAGAGTCTGTGCACAAGTCACTATCCCTCCGTCGTCTCACTGACTGGTTGCCAAATGAATACGGCAATGTGGAGGGCCAGGTTGGTTTAAAATGCTGCTTCCTGGCCTCTTTATTTTCCCGCTATTTTATTTTATGTATGTATGTTTCGATATACTTAGTTTTATTTAAACAAATGAAATTTATAGTCAGCATTGGAACTAATCATATTTTAGACTACTCAAAAATATTGAGCTCTTGGTTTATTAGTAAGTAAATGTTCGATAAATAGGCTTACTGGCTTGCTTTATCTATAGCTTGCAACAATTTTTGTTTTCTCTGCTATCTTGTGACCCTGTCGTAAAAAGGAAGAAGCCTTGCCTTGAAGTTTTAACTGCTAATTTGTTCCAAGAAGTTTTCGGCACATCGCCATACTATACCAATTAATCCGTAATGAGCTCTTGCCTGTCCCGTGACAGACATCACGAGAGCTAGAACTCATGAATTAAGATATTTCAAAAA